GTAGGGAGGTGTCAACTTTGTATTGCTGTTCATTGTCCACTCCCTAAATAGCTCATAAACAATCTAGTCATTGGAATAATATATCCACTTTCCTTTCATTCACAGCATAAAAATAATACTTTTAAATAGTTTCCAAGTTTGAGTCAATTCAGTTTACCATATGGCCCCCCCACCAGTTATTTTTGTATAATTTCAGTGCAAGGATAGGAAAGAATAACTGAGGTGAAAAATCTTTTAGGCCTCTTCTACTGACAAAAACAGCATTCACAAAACCTAATCTGCAAGCAGAAGCAGATTCAAAGAGTGTTAAGACTAAAAACCTTTTAGAAGCATTAATAGTTTTTCAGTATTTCCCATACACACGTCACTTATAGACTTTATCGGAAACGTACACCTATCCCCAAGTGCACAAATACACCAGACGTACCTTTCTTGTAAGTAAAAGCAAGTCAAACCATGAGCATAGGGCTGAAATAAGTGGTTCAAGGCCATACAGCCTGGAGGATTTGACACACCAAACATACCTGCCAAGCAGAAAGGTCCATTTCTTCCCTCCCTATTTAGCAGGCACATTGCAGACACATCTTGATTCTCGTTCCTTTCCCCTACTCAGTGTCCACCTTCCCCTTGCATTACCCACTCCCTATGGCAGCCACAGTAGCTATTACTCTGCAGCGTGCTTAAAGCAGCAACATTTTATCTCTCAGCTAGCCTCCAGGGGCCAATTTAAGTCACAAGTACAACATGAGAAATATACATAAAGTACACCTTAATATCCACTTGAGCCTCACATATGTTAATTGCTCCATTCTTCTCAAAACTTTAGGAACAGAAGTTCTCACAGGATAGCAAGTTGGCACAAGGTGTTTTCTCCACAGTAACTGCCCTTGTTTTTTTCTATTTTGTACTTAGTGCAGTACAGCTGATGGGTAATAGCTTGTTCCTAGGTCAAAGCTGCAAGATATTAAAATGACTAGCAATAGCCATTTATGATGCTACTGTGCCTTTATCTTCCTTTCTCACCTGATTTCATAAGAGAAAAACACACAAGAGTTCCAGGGGGATGTGCTCTGGCAGGTAAGTGGGCGGCAGTAAGATTGGTGTCTCTTTCCAGCTGACAAGTTATTCTGGCAAAGGCAGCTGTTGGAACCAAGCTGGAAAATCAAAGCAAAGGCAGTCATGTTGTGTGATTTGGTATACTACTTATATAGAACTTATTTAGCATAACTTGCTTAGCACTGGTAGCTAAAGTTGCTGAAGCCTTAGGCTGCAAGCTGTGAACTTTAGCCTAGATATGTTGAACTTTTACCAAGTCAAGTAAAAGAAGGCCCCAGAGCCATTTCAAGCCAGGAGATAAGAAAGCTACATTCATTAACAGCAGCTGCAACCTTAAAGATAAGAAAAGAAATGGCCTGCCTAGAGAAAATGAAAGGACCCAATGAACAATGGGGAAACCCCAGACCCTAATATTACTACTGGTTTGAACTGTTGCATGAGGGGTAGAGAATTTAGATTGTAAGGGTATAACTGCCCAGGGATTTCTTCGTTCGAGGTCCCTCTTCAGAGGCACCCAGCTCAAGCCCTAGTGCTATTAATAAAAAGGTGCTATTAATAAAAAGGACTTTATAGAAGAATCTCTTTTCGGCTTATTGATTCAACAGAAACCTACAGCCGAACCCTGTTATGGTGCCTGGCATGTGTAATTTCCATAACAGTCAGGACCAGTGCTTGTGATCACATAATACTGAGTAACTTCTAGAAGCTCACGTAGGAAGAGAGTCCAATGCCTTTATGTATGGCCTGATCTTCTGTTCATAGCAGGTCAACAGCAAGCAGTAGATTTCAATATATGTTTGCATTGTCATCAAGCTAAACGTAAACATAAAATGAAGGGAGTTTGAACAGATGCATGTCCCACCTCCAAAGATGACACTCACACAAAGGGCAAGGTTTTGTGGGTTGGTTTGTTTGGTAGGATGTTTTTCTGTTCCTTATCTCATCCATATGCAATCCCACTCAAAAGGGAAAAAAATAAAAAGTCCTCATTCAGGTTGGGATGGGGAGACTGGAGTGCTGGGGGACAAAATTTGAGAGAACTTGTCAGAAATGTTCTGATGCCACAAGTGTTAGTTATTGGAATATTATTTAAGCCATCCCACTGCTCAGTTAGCATACTCTTTCCATTATGCCTCAGAGGAATGACATTTCTGGGGTGCCAAATTCTGGAAATTCTAGAAAGCGACAAGTGTCAAACCAAGCCACTCAACTCCCACTTCTGCAAGTTCCTTCTCTGCATCTCACAGGACCCTGCAGCAAAGCTGACCGTATTGGATTGTACCATTCCCCCAACAGAGGTTTTCTCCAGCTTATTGACAGGATCTCAAACAATGGTCAAAGTCCCTTTAGAATCCAAAGTAATTTCCATTTAATAGCCATGAGCTCCAGTGAAAAAAACTTTCTTAGACCCGTTGCCTAACCCACCTAAAATTTATGCAGAATACCTCAAGACTAGACAACAGGAAGCAGGGCAGTACAAAATTTGTAATTACTTCTCAGTCAGTGATCCAAACCAAGAGGGTTAATGGGTATTTCAAGTGCCATGGATATGGATCTTGCCTATCATATCATCAGTGGGCCATTCTATATGTGTTTGACTTATTCATACATACAATGTGAGGGAATGAAAGGGTACTTCTGCAAACTCAGGTAGATGGCACCCAGAGGAATAGCTCACATATAGCGTACTTATCCTTTTTGCATGGTCATCCACAGCATATTCTGTTGACATGTAAACTGAAGACCCTTTTGTATTATATTTTGGGAAAGGGGATTTTCTCAGACTGTTAACAGCTTGGGTTGTAAGTCTTGAGAAGCAAATATGTCTCCCCAGACTATAATGAAGGCAGAGTCACTTTACAAACCTAACTTCTGTAAGATGCACTTGATCATACACTGGACCCCTAGCATCCCAAAGGCATAGTAGCAGATTTATTCACTAAGAGATTATAGGCGTAGAGGTAATCTCCCTACATTGCTGACTAAATCAGCTAATATCACTGTGATGGTTTCATTTTTAAGAAAATCCATAAGGGAACAACCCATTTTATCATGAAGGTATGTATACAATTAAATAATAAGAACAGGAACCCCCTCTCCCTTCCACACACACTAGAATCTCATTAAGATCTGGAAAAATGGCAAAGTCTGGGGAGGAAATAGACTCCTGATTTATCATGATAAATAAAATAGCTCTGGAAAAACAATGAAGCTTCTATTCTTTCAGTTAGGGGAAAAAAAAAAATCACATATAACACCTCTTTTGAATTACATACTTCCTCTTGAACCATTTGCATATTTTTCTATTGAATTTCAAAAGACTTACAAGCAAAATTAATGTGCTTCACTGTGAATGCCAGGAACACAATTACAGCCCATCAAAAGCTGCACAAAAGGACAGAACTGATGTGCACAGTAATGCGAGATTTCTTTTTTTTTTTTTTTAAGACTTTCTTGTAGAAATAGACCTAGCTAAGCACAAAGCTAGAGGTTATGTCTTTTTTATTCATGCTCCAGCCAGCTCCCCTGTATATTCTTACACTGTGTTTGCTAGCCTGACTTTCAAAGAGATCTTACATTATATAAAGTGGCCCAATAGGGACACAGAGAAGCAAAGAGCAGCAATCTCTTCTTTAGCCTATCCAGCCTGAAGCAACTGTTTCTTTACTTGACGTTCCCTTAAAACACATCATAGTCTAAATATCTTGCCCTCTGTGGATTTTTACGGTAGCAATGCTTTAAGTAGCATTGTATAAACTTGTTCAAGACATCATGCAACTGTAATGGTTCAGGAAAGGGAGTTACAGAGATTTGACAGTATATCCTGAATATAAAAGGTTTCTCACTACTTCACTGAGGAAGGAACATGTTATAAGGTTAGTACAGACAGTCATTCTGTCCACACTCAGTCTCCCTAACATCATCCTGTGTGTGGTGTATAGCACCTATGTACCTAATAACATGCACCCATGTATGTGTATAAGTATTTATTCTTATATGTAACAGTTACCAATCCACCCCAGCAATAAATAAAGGATTTTTTTCCCCCCACTTCTTTTTAACAGACACACCCAGTCCAGTGCAGACCCTATAGCAAGGAAGCTATTCATTCTGAGAACCTAGAAGAGTGGGAGAAACAAACACACCAGCTTTCTTGTTCCTGTAGACAAAGGTTCAGGATGCAGTTATTATTTCTATTACTGAAAAGCTCATACAGACAGCATTAATGGACAGATTCCTACTACCTCAATGCTTTCTTTTATGTCTGACTTGTAAATCACTGTCTGTTGTTGACTTATATATAGTATTGGTATTGATTTGATGAATATTTCCCTAACTGTTTGAACCCTCTATTGAATCCACAAAGTATCTGTCATATGACTCATTTGGTGGAAAGTTGTTTGAAAAAAAATCTTTTACGCAAAACTGAAAGAGTTCATCATCAGCCAACCCTCCCTTTACTTAAAGCAGGGATCTTTTCTTAAATATTGAATCAAGTTTCCACTCTCAGCCAGGAAAACTCATCAATTCAGTACATGAAAATTCTGTAATCCTCACAACAGCTCTTGCTCCAACAGGGTCCAGTTAGCATTACTGGAATAATCCCCTGACTGACCAGTATCCCACAATCACTTGACAGTTCATAACCTTCATGCAGAGGAAGCTCTTCCTAACTTTCCCTCAATTTTTACCATATGAGTGGATCACAGTAGGGATAATATGCCTCCCATTTACCAAGCACTTGATCTTGCTTACTATGGTTGGTGTTAATCACACCTCAGTTACTGGTCTGAAGTTCTCCAACATTTTTCCTTGTCCCCACATTAGAAAGGGAGATATAATACAATACATGTAGGTCACATTCAGACCTTTATAAAAAGCGTACCAAAAATTAAAGTGAATTCTCTTCTGTCACTGAACAGCACTAGTTAGACATTTTCCCTTTAACATGCTAGCGCCATGTAATTTGCAGTTTTTGTAGGAGCTCCATAAGCGAGTTTCACTGCTGGAAGATCTCTTGGGCTGATCTTCAACCTAGTAGCACGAACTGGGACTCCTTCTCTATGAACAATGTATTCCTCCACTCCCAGTTGCAAAAAGATTTGGGACTTTTTGAATGGTTGAGGATTTGGGGGGTTTGGTTCGTTATTTCCAATAACCTAAATGAAAAGAGAATCTAACACCACTTTTACTTGCAGCATTTTTAAATGAGTCAATTAAAAAAGCTGAAGGAAATTTGGAAACAAAAATCCATTAAATGCAGCCTCATTTTCCATTACTTCCTAATAGTTAAAACTCTCACCTGGGTCCCCAAAGTTCATTTTTTATTTAGAATAAGGGAAGCCATATCCCACACTTCAGAAATCCCAGGGAGTTTATTGTTCATTACGTAGGGCAGATGAATATTTTTAATCCACGTGGCTTATCCAGACAAAGATGGAGGGCTGAGGCTGACGTGCAATTGTTTGTGCTTTTCTAATGCCAACATCAAAAGTTAGCAAAACCACCATTACATTCTCTTCAGGGAAAAAAAGAAAAAGGCTACCAGAAATTACAGATTTCAGAAAATATTAAGGAAGAAAAAAAAGGATGACAATTAAATTACTTTTCCATTTTGTGATAAAACACTCTGTAACTGTATTCTAATTTTTTCCACCTATGAACTGAACTGCTTAGTTTTTCTGTATAAATTCCAGTCCTTCTAAGAGAAAGAGTGGACAGTATCAGGCCTGGAAGCCTGAAGTAATTTTGATCTTCATCCCTATGGCAGTTTCGAAGTAAGATTTGCTGCAAAAACAATAAAGAAACAATCCAGCACCCATGGAAACTACAGAAGGCAAGGAATTTTATAGAAGTAAAATACTCTAGGTAAATCAAAAAGTATTTTCCTGTCATTAAAACCTTCAATTTTTCACAGGAGATTAGATTTAGTGTTCACATCTGTCATTTATATTGACTATTCAAGTAACTTTTCTCAAGAAAAGTCATTAGTTCAGCAAATAAAAAAGGAAGAAACTTCAACATTAACTCATTTTAACCTCTTTATTTTTAGTGCAGCTTGCCAAGTTGTGTATTTCTTCTCCCCACTTCTCCTGCTTCATTGGCCTGAAAAGGGGAATAGATGATATGATGTACACCTACCAAAACACACATAGCAGAACACATCTGTTCCCAGCTGGGGACGAGGCTCCTATTACCTACCACTCTGTCCCCCTCATCCCCGCTCCTGCCCATCCAGCATTTACTCCAAATTCAACAGTCAGAAAGAGGTCAGTTTATGAGATAGATGTATTGCTCATGCAGGTGGTACACAAGGAAACCTAACTTGAGCAAGGGATGATTTATTCTAGGAGTCTCAGTTCATTAAGGGAATGCCCCAAGATCAACATTTAAATGTTCTGCCGTATAGACACCAAAATAAAACTATTGTAATACTGTTTAATTTTTAGGATAATTGTGGGTTGGAAGAAGGTGTATATGTAAGCTTCTCTTTGTGACCTCTAATCCCCTGCTTGACATCTGACCTGATATTGTGGACGGAAGGAAAGGACAAGAGAGGAGAAAAACAATTAAATTTGTCCTCTGAGAGTCTTCATTCCCAGAGTCACACTGCTGTCTGAGGCACCTGGATCCCAACCCTCCTGTGAAACAAATAGTTCCCTTCTTCCCCCCTCATCCCGACCCAGATCCCATGAGTGGAGCATTTCTCTGCTCTGTGACTTCGCTGGGGTGACAGGGAGAAGAGTACTGGCTGGACAGGAAACAGGAGAAAGAGGGAGAAGAGACAGAAGAGAGTGAACACAGCTCATCTACAGCTCTTTTCCCTCTGTTTCTCCCTATGGCTAGGGCCAAAGTCTGCGTATTGTAAAAATGCATTGCCCCAGGTCCATATGGCTCAGAGTAGAACATGAGACTGAAAAGGGCAGGAGACCACATAAATATTATTGTAGTACTGATGCTTAGTAATTTTACAGTGTGTTACTCCACAGGCATTAAAATTCTGATATGACAGTGGCACCCAAATATCATTTAGTATTGCTATAAGCTATACCATATTATGTCTTTGTGAAGGAGTCTGCAAGTGATATTTTCTCTATACAGTTTTGCTCAATGGTCAAAATGTCCGTGATGATTAAGTGGACTTATTTTCCCCTTTGTACCTATTTCTGTACTGCTTTTGTATCCTCTTTGATCATGTCAGATAAGCTTTGTTCCTGGTAACTTAGTAGTGATCATTTCACCTGCACACTTTGATTATTTAATAGACCTTACTTAAAGCTTACTCCTCCTACTTCTCTTTCCTTTGGCTTCTCTTTCTCAGTTGCTTCAATACTCCTTTACATGCTCATTTATCGTTTTTCCTCTTTCCAAGCTGTTTGGGTTTTATTATTTTTTTTTCCTTAGGAAATTACCTCTTTTCCTGTCCAGGCTCCATTTATTAGGCTTGACTGCCTGGTTGACTGGAGTGATGAAGAGCTGCAAATTCCCTTCATAGCATGTGTTTGCACAACACCCACACAATTCACTCAACCACCTCTTCCCAGCACTCCTATCTAACTATGTGACACTGAGGAATCCTGGGCACCTAGGGATCCCTCATGACAAAACAACTGTAGCTTTTAGCCTCATGTAATTAGTTCTGTTTGAAAACAGAAGATTTGAATAATGTTAAATCAAGAAAAATTAATTCAGTAATACTTATGTGAATTTGTAAGCAGTCTGAAGCAGAAGGGGGGACACACACACACAAAACAGAATTAAAGGAATCCTGAATTCAAGGGTCTAGTGAACACACATTGTTCTCTTTTCTCCCTACAGGTTCCATAGATTATTCTCTGCATCAGATGGACACAGACTCATTGCAAGAAGTGGTCCAATATTTTGTTTTCTCATTATTTGGTTAATGTGCAGCTCTAGATTTTCTTTACTTCATAGTATTCAACTTCAGTCCCAGGACGCACTTACGGTTCCATTTCTACCAGATTTCTAGTTTATGTTATGCATTGTATATCTACAATATTACACATTTCTAGAGCATACATCAATGTATTATCCAACATTCAGGTACCTATCTCCACAGTCCTCTCAAATGCTAGATATTCCTGGTTTATAGAAAAGAACCAAGGAGATCAACTTTTCTTCCTATATATAGAAAATCAATTTAAGTGGCTTGTACTAGGTTCCGCTGCCAGTATCCCAAGATACATAGCCTCTTACGGTCCTGATTCCTTGACTTAAAACAAGCATGGTGGTATACCACCACGCTATAGAGCGACTGACTTGATGCACTGGCTACTTCCAGCATCCTCTGCTATCACAGATAGAAGGGACGAAGTATCATGTAACACAGGTTTTTCTGGAATATTGTTTCCTGCAGTCATCACATTTTCCTGTGATTAAAACCATTTACCAACTTTACACAAGTTTACAAGTAACTTCTGATATTCTGGCTCTGCTAAACACTTTCCCAGACACAACAAGCAAGAAAAAGGCCCTATAAAAGTCCTCCTTCATTAGCTCACCCTCTAAATAGTTACATTCAGCCCAATAAATCAAGGAGTTGTCTTGTGGGAAAACTAAGTTGAGGTTTCATTGTTGTGAACTTTAGTATTTCCTAACTTCGAGACATTACTACATACTCTTTTTTTCTTCCTAAAAAGAATAATGCTGTTACAAACACATCAAATACAATGTATTTCTATACATGTCATGCAATTTGTCAATTAACCATTAATTTTGACCTGGAGTAAATTAATAAGAGCCCTGAAAAAGCACAGCGCAAACAGTAACTTTGTCTCCCTTTCAAACATCTTCAAGGACTTGGGTACCAATAAGCTCGAAATTGTGCTTTGCTCAGCTACTCTTAACTTTTCCTCCGGCTTTAGAGGCTGTTCTTTTTTTCAACTGCTATCTTAATGCTATCTTTACTAATCTTTCATTGTTGTCCAAGAATGTTTGTGCAGCAACAATTCTCCTTCATGGAAATGTAAACATTCCAGATGAACTTGCTACTAAGAAGCAGCCTTTTGATTTCCCCTACACTTGACGAATATCAGTAACAAAGTTTAACAATATACTGGGTTAATATTATATTTCGGCTAATTAAAAGACAAGGTCCCCTACTTTTGCTACATTCATAGGGTCAAGACCAGCTTCCTTACACTGTCCTACCACACTGCTTCACCACCCAGAGTGTTGCTCTTTAAAAAAATAGAATAAGATAAAATTTGAGTCTTGTACTCTTCTCAGTATGCCAACTGGTCTCAGCTTTAAGACACAATCCTCTTGCTCATTGTAATCTGCACCTGAACCAGAGCACTTCCATAACCCCAATGAAGATACCTGATGAAAATGGAACGTGAAACAGGAATACCACCTACAAAAAAATCTGAGGCACCTGATAATGACAGGTCCGGTCATTTACGTATGGGATTCAGAAACCCTGTATTCCTAATGGCTGTGCTGTGAAGATTTTCTTCCTTATCAAGTCTAAACCTCCAACAGGAAACATAATTGCCAAATTTCCAACCTCCAATAATTCCTTCTTTTCACTTGAGCTTTGTGTCTTCCATCAAACACCTTACACAATGGCAGACCATCAATTAAGAGAGTCCTCTAAACTATCAACACATTAGCAAAGCAGCTGGAAATCTTTTTTTTTTTTCCCCCCTGAATCTAAGATGAGGAAGAATAGATCAAGACCAGAATTTCAATAATTTGAGCATAGACAGCTGTTTGGATCAAGAACTTTCCACCCAGTGTGTCAGCTCATGCAGTACAGATACTGAAGCTTCATCTTTGAAGGTAAGGATGTGTAAAGTGGAAAAGGAGCATCTGGATCCAGGTGTTATCAGATGCCTTCACAGGTAATTTTCATACTTCATTGGCAATTACAGTTGTAAAATAGCTCCTCCACCATCCTCTGGATCACTGATGTATTACTGATGCAGCAACCTAATCACGGCAAAACCGATTGCAGTGTAGAACAGTGACCTACTATGTTTTGTACTAATTTATCACAATAGGCATAATAAAAGATATCATATTGTTAAGAATAATTCATGCCACTACAGTAATTAAAACAAACACTGCAAAAAGACAAATATGAGCATTAAGCTGGCTGAACAGAAAGGGGAAAAACATGGATTATATTTTGTAA